CGACCAGTCGCGCCTCTTCGAGACCTACGGGCTGTGCCTCGACTGCTTGGGCGCGCTCTCCTCTCAATTGGCGTGCAAGCCCTACTCGGTCCACGTCCAGAGGTCGAGGTACGTGCACTGCTTCGAGTCCTGCGGGCTGTACGGGGACGCGGCGAGCGAGGGGTTCAGGTTGCTGGAGAGTCTGCGCGGGATTGATTTTGGTGACGGCGGCGGGAGGGCGAGAGGGAAAGGTGGATTGTTGCCGCCGGCGGGGAAGCCGGCAAGCGAGGATAGGGAATTTGCGGTTTTGGTGGTGGAGATGGTGGTGACGACTGTGAAGTGTGTGGCGATGGGGCAAAGTAAGGACGCTCGTGATTACTCGAAGTTGCTCGGGTTGGTGGATGAGGTCCGGCCGTGGTTCGGGTTCGTGCACTTTCTTTGTAGTTTAGACCAAAATCTTTTTCCCCCCTGTTTATTGGCTGCTACATTGTTACGCTCATGGGTTTCTGATATTGAATTGCCAGGGTCTTGGATGCAAATATGTTAAATATGTCTTGAATTTAATGTACTCGATCCGGTTTATCACCCGACCCGACATATTTTTGTGCGACCCGAAAAAGGAGATTTAGTTCGTGACGCGGAGGGTTGGGCCGATAGTTTTAGTTCGTGACGCGTAGCCCCCAAGAAAAATTTTTGGGAAGTCCTATTTATAACGCGGCTGGGTTTTCTCATAGAAGTAGAGAGAGAATTTTGTTTTATGAGAGTTTTGGTGAGCTGTGAGGTTTTGTCAAGTCGTTGTTTCAACTTCTGAAAATTGTATTCTCTTTGATTATAGTGGAATCTTGATTTGCCTCGCCTGTGGACGTAGATCACCTTGTGATCGAACCACGTAAATCCTTGTGTTCTGTATTTGTTTTTCCGCACCTGTTTTTTCATCAAAATACATGACAAATTGCAGAGAGCGCTTGTTACTTAACTGGGGAAATGTACTGTCTTTATGGTTGGTGAGTTAAGCAGCTTTGATGGGGATTTTGTGCGTTCATTCTGTACAGCAACTTTGATTGAGTATGGGAAGTCATCAATGAAAGATGAAATATTCAAGGTTAAGTAAATTCAAATCTCGCCTCCTTTGGCCAAGAAGGATGTGTAATTGTTTCTAATGTGTAGTTGCTTTTTGCAGTTTGCTCGCAGGATATGTTCCGTATTAATTTCATTATCTGACGAAAGAACATCCCTCATATTTGATGTACTAACTTGTTTATTAGAATCAAGTGGCCGTGATGGAAAGGTAAGTCTTTCAGAATAGCATTTGAGTTTTCTTGAAAAAGTATATACATTCAAGTAAGGAAACGTGAAAGGGGACACTAACGAATTTACATATGAATTTTATGGGTACTCATAGCATTTCGCTCACTAAGTCCAACTAATGTTAACTTTCATGTACATGGTAGTAATTGGGGGTTTAATTGGAGAAATAGAAATTAAAATCTTGGAACTTATGGTCACAAATTCTAGATCAGTATGTTTGCAGGCATATATTTTCCTAATTTCCATGTTTCTCGAAGTGGAATCATCCACTTTGTTAGAAGTTCAAATATTGCAGTTTGGGTAGCCACATGCGGGTGGATAATGGAATTTGGATTTTGAAGCTGTTTGTTAATTATAGTAGGGCTAAAAAGAAGCTGACTTTCAGTTCTACATATTGTTGTCAAAAGTTTGTTTTCGAGATCAAGGAAGATTAGTTAATTTTGTTAGAGTTATAAATGCATTTAACAGGTAGTATTTTTATGGGAGAAAAATATGGGTTTACAATGGAAGAAAGAATCAAAATTGCAGTGGACTTCACATTGTGAGCCATGCTGATGAGTGTAACTAGGTAATCAAGACTTTGAGAGTGGAAAAGAATAGCTTGGGGATTATAGTTTTTTGCTCCCTTTTATATTTTTTATAAATATTTCTTTGTTTAAGAGTTACATAACTGTAGAAGTCCATGAAAGATCAAAAATGCTTAGACAATGAGGTGGCAAAGCAAAGTCCAATCTTGTGATTGACAATGCAGATTTGTTTTTTTTCTCCTCCCCCTCGTCTTTGTCTTCTTCTTCTTTTTTTTGGGGGGGGGTGGGGGGATGGTGTCAAGTAGATGAAATTTTCTAGATATCGTTCCGACTAAACCTCATCCAATGGTAAGGGCGAGCAAACAGTAAGAGTTGAAAGAATGAAGTAAGTTAATTCTGATTGTTCATTTGTAGATAACCCAATTGTGCGGATGTGTGTTGGATTGGATGCCTTGAATGCCAATGGATAGTTTTCTTGGGCTTTAGGTTTAGTTATTATGTGCAGTTTTTGAACAAGTGATCCCTTGGCTAACAATAAAAAAGGGATGTCACAAACTGGTCAAAGAAGGAAATGCATCAGAAATAACAGCTGAAAGGAAATAAGAGAGCAAAATGCATGAACTAACAAAGGCTAACCAAACTGAAAAGCAGCAAACGAATAGCGTTATTTAAAATAAAGCTCTTCAACGCTGGATAACTCAATTTCAAACCTTCCAAAATCCTATTGCGCCTTTAAGCCCTAAGTTCCACTAAATAATACCAGCTCATACTTTTAAACCTAATATCAGAAGCTGCAAGTCGTATATCAGGAGTGCACAAGAATTCCCTAACCCCCCTCTAGCGCGTTTGCTTGTTCCATAATCATGTGCTTTTTCTTGATGTAAATATCGATTTATGAAGTGAGAACTGATTATGTCTTGTCATTATTCTTAAGGTAGGTTGATCATGTCCCCTTACACGTCACGAAAGTGTATAAATGTTGAAGTGCAAGTGTAGCCTATCATCTCATAGAGCATTGCAACTTTGTAATGTTCTTTTAGTTTGCTCTACTTACAGATTGAGTTGTTAACCAAGATATTCTTTCGGCAGATTGAGAAAGGTGATGCTGGAGCAGAGATCATGGCACTTTTTTCTTATTGTGCCAATAGATGTCCTTATTGTGCCAATAGATGTCGAGATGTGACCACCAGTTTCTGTTGTAAATTTTCTGTATATATAAAGGACATAGCTACTAAAAAGGTATCTCCTTGACATAGCTTTTCTCATCCGGCAGTTGCACTTGCTTCATTGTATTCACCATTGCTTTCGGAAGTTTCCTGCCGTGCTGATGGTGATTCATTATAAATGGCAGGTTTCAATGCCAGTTAGTTTGATTTTGAAGCTTTATGCTCTTGGTTTGTATATACTTGATGGCAAGATTAAACCAAAAGATGGTGGTTCAAGAACTTCCAAAGTTGAGGAAGATGGCTCTACATTGTCAACAATCTCAGGCAATGGGGACAGACTCAACTCTTTACCATCTTTATTCAGTTTATTGAGAAGTTACTTCCTCATCAAGTCCAATCTCGGCCGTCCGCCGCCGTTGCTGCAGCCGCCTCTGCCTCCGCCTCTGCCTCATGGCCCGGTGACGATGGGACGTCCGCATTCTCCAGCTTCAGCGAGCTGCAACGGGAGCTGCAGTGCTGCGTCACCGGACGAAGTCCCCGTTGGCCGCAAACCTGAGCTCCGGCACCCGGAACGGCGGCGGTGGAGGCGGCGGCATCAGTATCAGCGGCGACTGCGCGCGGCTACCAGGCTAATGGACGGCTGGCTTCGCGGGCAATGGGGGCTTCGGATACTAACCCGATCCGTAAATCTACATCCCCAAATTGGCGGCCGCGCATTGAAGAAGCCAACATCCAAAGGGACTCTCTCTCTCTTTCCTGGCACATGCCAGCTCGGGGATCGCAGGTGCGAGGATGATGTCATGCATGGTGACGTGAGCACATAGGCAAGCGAAACACCTGGGTGGCCTTGTTCTCTGCTGCGTTATATATACCCAACGTTCGATCCTGGCACGTGCCAGCATCAGTATCAGCGGCGACCGCGCGCGGCTACCAGGCTAATGGACGGCTGGCTTCGCTGGCAATGGGGGCTTCGGACCCTAACCCAATCAGTAAATCTACATCCCCAAATTGGCAGCCGCGCATTGAAGAAGCCAACATCCAAAAGGACTCTCTCTCTCTTTCCTGGAACGTGCCAGCTCGGGGATCGCAGGTGCGAGGATGATGGTGACGTGAGCACATACGCAAGCGAAACACCTGGGTGGCCTTGTTCTCTGCTGCGTTATATATACCCCAACGTTCGATCCTGGTACGTGCCAGCATTGGTATCAGCGGCGACCACGCGCGGCTACCAGGCTAATGGACGGCTGGCTTTGCGAGCAATGGGGGCTTCGGACCCTAACCCAATCCGTAAATGTACATCCCCAAATTGGCAGCCGCGCATTGAAGAAGCCAACATCCAAAAGGACTCTCTTTCCTGGAACGTGCAAGCTCGGGGATCGCAGGTGCAAGGATGATGGTGACGTGAGCACATACGCAAGCGAAACACCTGGGTGGCCTTGTTCTCTGCTGCGTTATATATACCCCAACGTTCGATCCTGGTACGTGCCAGCATTGGTATCAGAGGCGACCGCGGGCGGCTACCAGGCTAATGGACGGCTGGCTTCGCGGGCAATGGGGGCTTCGGACCCTAACCCGATCCGTAAATGTACATCCCCAAATTGGCAGCCGCGCATTGAAGAAGCCAACATCCAAAAGGACTCTCTCTTTCCTGGAACGTGCCAGCTTGGGGATCGCAGGTGCGAGGATGATGGTGACGTGAGCACATACGCAAGCAAAGCACCTGGGTGGCCTTGTTCTCTGCTGCGTTATATATACCCAACGTTCGATCCTGGTACGTGCCAGCATTGGTATCAGTGGCAACCGCGCGCGGCTACCAGGCTAATGGACGGCTGGCTTCGCGGGCAATGGGGGCTTCGGACCCTAACCCGATCCGTAAATGTACATCCCCAAATTGGCAGCCGCGCATTGAAGAAGCCAACATCCAAAAGGACTCTCTCTTTCCTGGAACGTGCCAGCTCGGGGATCGCACGTGCGAGGATGATGGTGACGTGAGCACATACGCAAGCGAAACACTTGGGGTGGCCTTGTTCTCTGCTGCGTTATATATACCCCAACGTTCGCTCCTTTTCTCTGCAACATTCATCACTCATTTTCAGTAAAGAGATTCAGCAAAAATGACATCCTTTTCAATTTTCACGTTGAATTAAGGTAGTTTCACGATCGTTCAAGAAACCGAAATCTCAAGAGAAGGGAGAGAGAGCGAGAGGGTTTCAAGCGATGGCGATGCATCGTTTGTTTGAGGCCGTGCACAAAATGAAGGCCCCGTTGATGATGGTGGTCGTCCAGGTCGTGCTTGCCAGCGTCAACATACTGTATAAGCTGGCCGCGAGCAACGGGATGAACCTGACTCTCGTCGTCGCCTACCGGTTAATATTCGCGACCGCTGTCCTGGCCCCTCTGGCTTTCTTCTTAGAAAGGTCACGCACACTTTTCTTATTGAACGAAGTTTAATTTTTCCCTTGCGATACCGGTCAATTTGAATGTGTATGTTTATACTGATTTCCTTCTTTCACATATAACAGGAAGAGCTGGCCAAAGATAACATGGATAGTGCTTGCGCAAGCCTTCTTTTGTGGGCTATTTGGGTAAGTGCGTGCTTGTGGATACATTGATGTTCAGGTTCTTGATCACCATGCCTCTTCTTGTTTAATCCATAAGATTCGGGAAATGCTTGGTGGCTTGTGGTGCTATAATTTAGCACTTATAATAACAGCCTAAAAGCCATATTTCCCATGTAGTGCAGCTGACAAGATACAACCTTCACCAGATATTTCTTATAAAAGAGACTTCTAGTACATAAATGTGTAAGACTTAGGTGTTTATGCATAGGGAAGTTCCTGGTCTTTTTTGTTGACTGGGATTGAATGAATTGCAGGGGATCAATGACGCAAAATCTGTACCTAGCAAGCTTGTCAATGACATCGGCGACATATGCCTCGGCCATGGCCAACCTCATCCCCGCCATAACCTTCGTCTTGGCCGTTTCTCTTGGGTATGTACAGGATTTCTCATGCAAGTTCCTCGACATGTAATTGGCTTATAATTCACTAGAATCGGTCTTTGGCGAATATGCTCTGGGATCTTCAGCTGGGATGTTCTTCTGACGTGGCTCGTGGTTTTCTTTCATGTTCACGTTGGTCGATCGAAATTAGGTTGGAGAAGGTGAAGCTGAGGACAGTTGCAGGGAAGGCAAAAGTGGCGGGAACATTAATGGGGATCGGTGGCGCAATGCTGCTCACGTTCTACAAGGGAATGGAAGTCAACCTTTGGTCAATGCACGTGAACCTGCTGCGCCACGTGGCGGCGACCCAGCAGGGCCGGGAGGGTTCGAGCAATCTCCTCCTGGGATCGCTTTTGGCCGTGGCCAGCTGCTTCTGCTACGCTTTGTGGTTGATCATTCAGGCGGGTCTTTGCTTTATCTTTTCAATACGTCTTCACGTTGTCGCTTTTGATTTACCTTTTCTTTTCAATCGTAACGCGCATGTCTGTTGTTTCTTGGTAGCTATAAGTCATATCGTACAATGATTTGTTTGACAGGCCAAGATGAGTGAGGGATTCCCATGCCAGTACACGAGCACGGCTTTGATGACCTTCATGGGATCAATCCAAGCAGTGGTTTACGCATTGTGTCGAGAGAGGGATTGGAGCCAGTGGAAGCTCGGATGGAACATCAGGCTCCTCACCGTGTCATACTCGGTACACCACGACGAACGCCTTACTCTCTAATGTTGTGTGCTTTCATTAGGGCTTAATATTGATTGTCGAACTACCTCGGTATGTGTTGTTAGCTGATCCGCCACCCACCACACGGCGTGGTTTTGCTTGTGGTGTTTTAGGGGATCGTCGGTGCCGGGCTGTGCTTTACTCTAATCGCCTGGTGCGTGAGGATGAGAGGACCGGTCTTCGTGTTGGTTTTTAATCCTTTGATGTTGGTGATCGTGGCCTTGGTGGGGTCTATGGTGTTGGATGAAAAATTGCACCTAGGAAGGTAAGTATATATACATATGTTTTTAAAGCATTCGATCCTTTCGAATCACTTAACACGGGATATTTGAAATTCTTGCTTCGTTTCGATGGTAGCATTCTAGGGTCAGGGCTCATAGTACTTGGTCTCTATGCGGTGCTATGGGGCAAAAGAATGGAGAATAAGAAGATGAATCAGTTAGTGCCATCGAGCAGCCCCAGTGAATCTGAATCCATTGAGATCGCTGTCGTCTCTCCCAACAAGAACGACGTTAAGGAGGGCGACGATGTTCAAGAGTTGGCTCAAAAGGAGAGCGAAGTGATCCAAGAAAGTTTTGAAGGGAAAAGACGCGGAGGAGGAGAACAAGCTCAAGGAGCAACCGACCTTGGATTACCGTACCATGTTTATTGTCCCTAATATAGGAGAAAATATTCGGTGGTTGCATATCACCACATTATCGTCTACGTCGCATGCGTGAATCATTCAAAATTCGACACATGTGTGATGACATGGAATTAAAAAGCTGGATTCAGAATCTCTCTTTCTTTTCTCTCTCTCCTCTGAAGAAGATTGACACACGCAACATTAATTGCCTTCTCTCTCTAGCCTTTTGTAAAAGAACTCTGTTCCAAATGAGGAGGTCTTCCTTCTCTCTCTCAAATTTCAAATTTCACTCCGTCTCTCTGCGTCCGAAGACACACTCTCTCGCCTTCGACTCCGGCTCCGACACGTTGCCTTCGCCGTCGCCACCATGAGCCCCATTGTTGCTGGGTTTGAAGCTCGTATCCGCCTTCGGCACTTCGGCTCAAATCCGCATCCGGAACGTTGTGACTCTTTTTCTCGTGGGTTTTGGCTTCCAAAACTAGATGTAACTTCTCCTTCAAAACCATGGAATCTTGCACTCCATGGATGAGTCATTCAGGCTCTTGATGTTGCATTTCGGGGTTTCTTGAGGTTTCGCAGACCTGTGAGGAAATATCTGGTTTTTTTTTTCTTTTTTACAAGGGTATAAAAAGTCTGCTTCTGTATGCGGGCATTTGGCCTTCTTGGGGGCTCAAAAATTGTGTCTTTATTGGCAAAATCAAGAAGAAGATTTGTTTCTGAGCGGGAACGAAGATTCGTAGCAGTGAACCGAATCGAGTTAGTGTTTTTCAGACTCGGTTCAACAAGTAGCCCGCGGTCAAACTTTGACCCGCCCACACGCGTCGGACCCAATCCGAACGGCGCCCCCCGCCCGAGGATTCAGCACGGGCGGCTTCGCATCCACCGAAGTGGCAGCCTCGCAATTCTCAGCACAGGGCGTGGGGAAAATCGTCACTCCGGCGGACCCCTATAAAAGCTCCACCTCTCCTTCCTCCGCTCGCGTCTCCTCCATCCACACTACTGGAAAAGGAAAGCTAAGCAAGAAGAAGCAAGAAGAAGATGGCGACGAAGACGGCGGAGATACTGCTCGCGGCGCTGATCTTGACGGCGATCTTCTCGCGGATGGACGTCGCCGTCGAGTCCGCCGCAGCAGATTGCTACGACGCTTGCTCCACCGCGTGCGTCCAACCCGACAGTGAGTAGCTTTTCGATTTCCCTGTGTTTTTTTCCCTCCCTCCCTTCGTCGGTCGGATTTCTGGAAGGATATGGCGGGTAATCGCTGCTCTTTTCGCCGACTGTGCAGCGAGGCTGATGGCGCGGTGCGACCGCAAGTGCCAGATCAAGTGCGAACCAGGTGCGCGTGCGTGTGTCTCTGTCTCTATCTCTTGCGCTTCATGCATGTTTCGACGTTTCCAATTGTGCCCCGGACGAGTGAATTTGCTGTCATTTTAGCCCCGAATGTGTGAATCCGGTTTGATTTTAGTCCTCGTGGCATCCGGCGGTCTTCTGATGAACATGTGTTCCGGACGGACTGCGGGTTTTGATAGTTCTGAGTTTCCGGCGAGGGCGATGAAAAAACTATTCCGCTTGCCGTCGGAAAATTCGTACTTGATGCCGGAGAAAAATCGACAGTAAGGTCGGTCTTAGGTGTCGCGAATGACATTTGGCCATATATTTGTTGCTGGTGATCTTAAGGTACCAAGCCTTTGGGAAGCATAGAAGTTTACCACTCTGGTCCTTAATTCTAGGGACGGGCACAGGAATTGGACCAACCCGGGAACCGGATCCAAAAGAGTCGATTTCTAGGTGGTTCTAGTTTCATTTGGAATCAGGAGTTATAGGACCAGTTCCCGATTTTAGGTGCGGAATTGGAACCGCTTAGATCGGTACGTTTTTCTTTGTTTTTTTAAAATTTTCTTTTCTCTTTAACAGTAAAGAAAAGGAAATTGCCGAAAACCCGAGATTGATCGGTCCGGTCCGGTTCCCGGTTTTAGGATGGAAGAGGCCCGACCCAAGAACGGATCACCCCTACTTAAATCCTATTTTATTTGTATTAGGCAAGAAGATGATAGCAGGATTAGCAATTCAGCACTTAATACTTCTCTTGATGAACTGGGTAACATAGATAATCATGTAAACACCCCCGGGTTTGATTAATTGCGTTCTCTTGCTCGACTAATCTTGAATTTTGTCGTTCAATATCATGGGAAAGTCTATATATGAAAGGTTGAGTCCTTATTATGCGGGTTAATATCACAAAAAACTCCAAACCGGTATACATGTGATAAATTTACCCAAAATTATTTTTTTGACCACAAAAAATCCCAAATTAGTACACCTATAACAATTTTACCCCGAACTATTTTTTTTACCGTAAAAAATCAACACTGGTACACTTATGACAATTTACCCTCGAATTAATTTTTTGACCATCAAAAGCCCTAAACTGGTACATATGTGACAAATTTACCCTCCATTAGTTTCCGTTAAATTTTACTATCAAATTGCTAAGTTTAATGACACGTAATAATTGACAAGTATACCGGTTTTTGGTTTTACCCCTTTGTTTGTTACAAGTTTACTAATTTGTGATTTTTCATGGTATTAATCCAATTTAACGGATACTAATGAAGGGTAAATTTGTCACAAATATATTAGTTTGGGGTTTTTAGTGATCAAAAAATTAGTTCATGATAAAATTATCACAGGTGTACCAGTTTGGGGTTTTTGGTGTTCAAAAACTTAGTTCAGTAGTAAAAAATTTAGTTCAAGGTAAATTTGTCACGGGTATATCAGTTTGAGATTTTTTTGTGGTAAAAAAAATAGTTCAAAGTAAAATTATCACAAATATGTCGATTTGAGATTTTTCATGGTATTAATCTTTATTATTTATTCTTTTTTTTTTTTGCCTTACGTGCAGGCCTTTTGGCAATGGGGGGAAATGTCGGCTGAAATCATTCTGTTCGACCGCCGATGAACAACCGATCGGCAACCTACGCCAATCGGAGCCGTAATCTTTCATGTATGCTAGTAAACAATGAATTATGTGCTGTGGCTATACGTGAACGGGATATTGCACTACGTACTTATACGTAAACTTGATTTCGAGAGTTTTCCTTTTATGTAATTAGGGGATTTCTTTTAATTTCCATATTTTACATATTCGCTTGTGATATGCGCGAATTTTTACTTCTGCTCACGGGAAAAAAAATTTACGGACGATATTAATTAGATGAGTGCAGGAAAAAAAAAACCCCTTGACATGGCGGTAAACACAAATATCATATATATTTGTTGGGTTGGTCCGTTTCGCGGAGTTGTTTCTAGAAAATTACATTTTCTAGTTTCTTTTTTCTTTTGTACTATCGGGTTATCAAACTAAGTAATGAGTTAATGACCTAGAGTTGCGAACGACTATAATTCAAGACTCCGTTTGTTTCACGAAAAATGAAAGATTTATAAAAATTATTTTAAAAAAATAATCTTTTTTATCGTTTGAATTAATTAGTTAATAAAAAATATTTTTATCGTCAATAGCAATTTATGTTTAAAGATTTTCGTGAATAATGAAAATATTTGTCGTTCATTCATCTTTGTAAGCGATACAAATGATCATTTTATGGAAAATATTTTTAAAATTATTTATTTTTCGCAAAACATACAAAGCCCAAAATTCATGGGAATGAATATGATTATTTTTTTTCACGTGAGTAGTTCCGAATATGTTTATATATATGAACGTGACATAAGAACACCATCACAGTTATAGTACAAAGTGAAATTTATCGAAACGAGAAGGGAAAAAGTCACAAAAAATCTCAAATTATTCTTACCTTGGATTACCTCAAACTATGCCCATATTTACCCTAAACTTTTTCTTGTGACATAAAAAATCTCAAACTTGTACCTACATAACACATTTGCCATTTGTTATTGTTTCGTTAGATGATTTTTAAATTAAAATAACGTCATTTTTATTTCACATAAGCCACGTGCCCGCACATGTCAACACTGTTTGCTGTATAGCATCCATGCAGATTTTTAATGACTATCATTGACAAAATTTTGACAAAGAGTAAATGTGTCACATAGATATAACTTTATGATTTTTAGTGTTATAGAAAAAGATTTAAAGTAAATGTGTCATGGTGAGCATAATTTATGATTTTTGGTAGCCTTTGCGCTAACGAGAATGTCAAATTGATTGGATGAACTTGTATAATAGGTATCACATTTTAATAGTTTGTATTGATTTGACATTTTCATTAGGCCTTCTTTTGAAGGATAATAAAGAGACTAATTTTCTTTTCTTTTCTTTTAACAAAAACAAGTACATGGACTAAAATTTAGCATCGCCAAAATGCAAGGATCAAAGTGTAAAATTGCATTAAAAGGCTTGCACAAGTAAGGATCGCAAAAACTAAAATTATGACAAAATATAACATGCGGACCAGAATTGAACTCTCTGAAAAACATAGGGATCAAAAGTATGATTTATCAAAGATAAAAGAGAAAAACACATAAAATCGCATGGCTCCCTAAGCCGTTGACCCGTCTCGGAAGAAAACTAGTTGATTGCTCGTGCCTTTCGGCACGATCTGAATATTGGTAAGTGTAATAATTTTATTTACTTTTTCTTCACTTAATAATTATTTTTGCGTTGAAATTATATTTTGGAAAAAAATGAAAGGAAATATACGACTAAGAATGCACAATTGATCATTTTGTACATAATCTTTATAGTATTTATATGTAATAATTTTATTTTCTCTTAAATGAGTGGAAATACATTCTTTTTAGTAATGTTTTATGTTATTTTGAAAGAATATTTCTTCATACCAAGGCCGCCATTCACTTTAACAATGTATGCTATGCGATTAGTGAAGAATTGACACATATTAGATGTAAGGGAAAATTTCAATTAAGGACCCAAAGTGGGTCTCTTTTTTTAAGAAAGGACCCCAAGTAGACAATGTTTCAATTAAGGACCCAAAGTGCCTAAACTAGTCTCAAATAAGGACCCAGCTCGCCGGCCGGCGACCGTGAGACATTTTCCGGCACCGGAATAGGGGCAATTTTGTCTTTTTCTTTCTTTTTTTTTTCTTTTTCCTTTTTCCTTTTCTCTCTTCCCTTTGTGGCCATCGCCGGCGACGTCCGCCGGCCTCAGGTGAGGGCCGCCTTCGCCGACGTCGGGCGACGGCCGCCTTCGCCTGGGTGGGCGATGGTGGCCCTAGCCTGGGCGGGCAAGGGCTGCCCTCGCCCCATACCGGCGAGGCCGAGGGCCATCGCCGGCGACGTCTGCCGGCGTGCCGGGCGACGGCCGCCTTCGCCGGCGCCGGGCGAGGGTGGCCCTAGTCCGGGCGGGCGAGGGCGCCCTAGTCCGGGCGGGCGAGGGGCGCCTCGCCCCATGCCGGCGAGGCCAAGGGTGACCATCGCCGGCGACGTCCGCCGACCTCAGGTGAAGGCCGCCTTCGCCGGCGTCAGGCGACAGCCACCCTCACTTGGGTGGGCGAGGGTGGCCCTAGCCTGGGCGGGCGAGGGCTGCCCTCGCCCCATGCCGGCGAGGCCAAGGGTGGCCATCGCCGGCGGCGTCCGCCCGGCCTCGGGTGAAGGCCGCCTTCGCCGGCGTCGGGCGATAGGCACCCGCACCTGGGTGGGCGAGGGTGGCCCTAGCCGGGCGGGCGAGGGCGCCTCGCCCCATGCCGCCGAGGCCGAGGGTGGCCATCGCGCGCGACGTCCGCCGGCCTCAGGTGAGGGCCGCCTTCGCCGACATCGGGCGACGGCCGCCTTTGCCGGCGTCGGGCGACGGGCACCGTCGCCTGGGTGGGCGAGGGTGGCCCCCGCCGCAACCCTCACTAGCCTAGGCGAGGCCAAGGGTGGCCCTCGTCGGATCTAGGTGGGCGAGAGACGCCCTCGACTGGGCCGGCGAGGGTTGTGGCGAGGGCCGCCCTCGGCCTCACCGGCGTCAGGCGACCCTCGCCCGACGCCGGCGAGGGCGGACCTCGCCGGCGATAGCCACAAAAGCGAAGAGAGAAAAGAAAGAAAAAGACAAAATTGTCCCTGTTCCGGTGCAGGAAAATGTCTCACGGTCGCCCATGAGTAAACATTTGGCCGCACGCGCGAGCTGGGTCCTTATTTGAGACTAGTTTGGGCACTTTGGGTCCTTAATTGAAACATTGTCCACTTGGGGTCCTTTTTTGAAAAAAGAGACCCACTTTGGGTTCTTAATTGAAAAAAGAGACCCACTTTGGGTTCTTAATTGAAAATTTCCCTAGATGTAATAATAACCTATTTTTCAGAATAATGTCCTCAAGTGTATGTGCAGTTCATATACCACATAATACCTATAGGAATGAATACCTTCTCCTGTTCTTAGTTACTTATATTAAATCGATCAATTTCAATGACAAAATCGAGATAACTAACACGATTTTTACGATGTACCCACTTTATTAAAAAAAATTTGGGGATAGATCATGTAATTCTTATGCCATGTTGAAAATTAGTAAATGTGCATATAATAAGAGCATTAAATGTAAAAGCCAGAATATCCATTTTTAACTACAATTAAAATGTTCAACCAAATTCGGCGATTTTATGCGAGATTAAGTTGTGTCTTTTGCGGCGTATTGCGACACGTAGCATCATGTTAAGACTTGTCGAGAATATAAAAACAAATAAATTTATATTTTCTAGGTAATTAAATCTAGGAAGAATGATACAAATGCTCTCTAAAGTTTAATCTGATATGCAATGTCGTTCCTGAATTTTTAATTTGTTCAATAAGGTTCATAAACTCTGGTCAAACGTACTATATCCTTCATGAATTTTTAATTTGTTTAATACGGTCCCTGAATTTTGGTCAAATTTCAAAATAGTCCCCGAACTTTTAAATGTTTTAATATAGTTTAGGGACTACATTGAACAAATTAAAAATCTAAGGATGACGTTACATGTTGGGCCAAAGTTCAAGGATCACGTTACATAATTTAAAAATTCAAGAATGACATTATATATTTGATCAAAACTTATGGATCATTTGTGCTATTATCCCTTAAATCTGTTGAAAAAATCTGCAGTTGCGAGTAAGGAGTGCAGAAGGTACTCGCTCCCTCCAAAAACGTCGCCGTTTCCCAAGTTCCATGTAAATTAGATTTGAAAAGCGATTTTGCCCCCCCCAAGGCGGTCTCTGTTCGCGCCTCAAGAAGAACACCACCGTCTCCTTCATTTCCACAGCCTCTCTCTCTCTCTCTCTCTCTCTCTCTCTCTAGCTCGTTCGACAATGGCGTCCGACGCAGTCCAATCCGCCCTCCTCTCCAAGCTCGAAGCCTCGCTCACCTCCCATTCCTCGGACGACATCCACTCCCTCTTCTCCGATCACCTCCGCCCGTTCTCGGACCTCGCCGTCGTCGCCGCCGCCGCGAAGCCCAAGAAGTCCTCGAAATCCGCCGACGCCGCCGGCGGCAACAACCAGCAGGGGTCGATCCGGTCTCTGGCGAAGCAATACCTCTCGTTCCTCAACCGCTCTCTCTCCCTACTGCCGAAGCTCCTCTCGGCTCCCCGCCCCGACCAGTCGCGCCTCTTCGAGACCTACGGGCTGTGCCTCGACTGCTTGGGCGCGCTCTCCTCTCAATTGGCGTGCAAGCCCTACTCGGTCCACGTCCAGAGGTCGAGGTACGTGCACTGCTTCGAGTCCTGCGGGCTGTACGCGGACGCGGCGAGCGAGGGGTTCAGGTTGCTGGAGAGTCTGCGCGGGATTGATTTCGGCGGCGGCGGCGGTGGCGGGAGGGCAAGAGGGAAAGGCGGATTGTTGCCTCTGGCGGTGAAGCCGGCGAGCGAGGATAGGGAATTTGCGGTTTTGGTGGTGGAGATGGTGGTGACGATTGTGAAGTGTGTGGCGATGGGGCAAAGTAAGGACGCTGGTGTTTACTCGAAGTTGCTCGGGTTGGTGGATGAGGTCCGGCTGTGGCTCGGGTTCGTGCACTTTCTTTGTAGTTTAGACCAAAATCTTTTTCCCCCCTGTTTATTGGCTGCTACATTGTTACGCTCATGGGTTTCTGATATTGAATTGCTAGGGTCTTGGATGCAAATACATATGACAAATTGCAGAGAGCACTCGTTACTTACCTGGGGAAATGTACCGTCTTTATGGTTGGTGAGTTAAGCAGTTT